CTGATTGAATAATGAGTATGGAGATGATTGCTTTTTTTTAATAAAAGTTGCATATTGGTTATAAAAGTTTTAATATGTGCTATACACATTATTCTAGATAAACAGTTTAATACGCCCATTTCTTTCAGTGTATATCTACTACTATATCCTCAACCATTCTTTAATAACTCCTTTGTTTTTAGTTAATCTTGAAACTAAATGTACTTTTGTTGCAATATCGCTGTTAAAATAATGTTTTTAACTTTAAAAAAAATTAAAAGGGCCTTTTCCACACAATGAGTTCTACTGACAAGTTGCATAACAACCGACCAGTTTGTTTAGCTACCCACCGAACCATAACACATTGTTATTCAAAAATATATCAGTTGATACAGAGTTGAGTTAGACTAACATGTCAAGGTATCCTCGAGCCTTATTCGACTATGCAGACGTCACACCGGTACTCAAAGGTCAATTAGGCATGTCTTTTCCGATCTTCCGATGCTTACGGTCGACCCCGACCGCACCGCAGAAAAAATTAACGATATTTTAATGACCCAGCCATGAAGATTCATTCTCCGGATCTTCCGCGTGAGAAATCAATTACAGAGCCAGGTTGGAAATTTAAAAAAAAAACGCATACCCGACGGAGATAAGGCGACCAATTCGAGGTGAAAGTGACGTGGCGTGTGTGCAGGTAATTGTGACCGCATAAGTACCCGTTGTTTGCTTAGGCCAAGTGGAATATATAGATTAGACGTCATATACACGCCCAGCTATTAATAATTGTATTAATAGCAGTACTTAGTTGTATTAGTAGGTGTTGGAATCGAACAAAAATTATGTTTTTCCGTCTGCTTGGGCAGGATTACAGAAATTTTCCAGTGAAATCCACTCTGCTAGGTGTTAATAACTGTTTACATGGAAATTCAACAAATAGTAGTTAGTCTCGTCGCGGTTTAATAAAAAAAAGGTAAACAGTAATCGCATAATGCATCTAAACACTTAGATATAAATTAATAATCGGTAATTACTTCCATAAAAGTTTTACCTATCTTTCGAATAATTCATCGCAAACGCTAAATAGTTCACCGCATTAGTTATTTTGACTTTTGATCTTACTTTAGCGCTCGTTACAAGGTAACCGTTATTGAACTATAGGTTGGTTTAACAATGAATTTAGTATAGGTATAATTTTCATGTAGATAAATTTTAATTAACGATTTCATAAGAACTGATATTTAACATAATTCGTCTGGTGGAACTAATTGAAAATATTAAGTTTGAATTAACTTTCATTGTGTCGAGAAATATTTAGTACATTAAAAATTCAGTAGCGTCCCAACAAGAATCGAAAATTTAAACAATTTCAATACAACTTAATTTGAAAATCTTTAACTTGTTATTAATTACTTCTTACATCAATAAATGACAATTTATGACATAAGTAAAATATTTAATTATTAAAAAAGCAGTGATCCCCTAAATATCCAATTAGTTGCAGGAAAGATATCCCTTCTTAAAATAATGCAGTAGGACAGAACCTAATTTTTTTAACAGTCCCGTCATTTTCTGTCTTATCACTAGACATCTATGGTCAAGCTGTGTGCCGCTCTATGCTCACAATACACAATGCTACTGACTGCCATAAAAACACTTGCCATACACTCGACCAAGCAAACCGTCAAACTGACTCACACACGCATAAACGACAATGAAATGCACACTGAAAGAAATGCGTTTTATTCTTTATTAGAATTCTATATACCATTATAAGACCATTGTATACTATATGTGACAGTTAAACAGGTGAATATTGGATATAAAACGCGTATTGCTAGCACAGTTGTATAGTGACTATAAACCTTATTCTTTATTAAATTATTGTATAACTAGTATACAACGTTTTTNGAATTAACTTTCATTGTGTCGAGAAATATTTAGTACATTAAAAATTCAGTAGCGTCCCAACAAGAATCGAAAATTTAAACAATTTCAATACAACTTAATTTGAAAATCATTAACTTGTTATTAATTACTTCTTACATCAATAAATGACAATTTATGACATAAGTAAAATATTTAATTATTAAAAAAGCAGTGATCCCCTAAATATCCAATTAGTTGCAGGAAAGATATCCCTTCTTAAAATAATGCAGTAGGACAGAACCTAATTTTTTTAACAGTCCCGTCATTTTCTGTCTTATCACTAGACATCTATGGTCAAGCTGTGTGCCGCTCTATGCTCACGATACACAATGCTACTGACTGCCATAAAAACGCCTGCCATACACTCGACCAAGCGAACCGTCAAACTGACTCACACACGCATAAACGAAAATGAAATGCACAGCCAGCGTCTCTCAGCAAAAAACCTCTGCTGACAGGGCATTAGAGTGCCGCTAGATACGTATCGAATAAATTGATCGATGCGAAGCTTCAGATCAGAGGAAGACATGTACATATTACTGTACAATGAAGCGCATAGTGGTATTACTAAAATGCGAAGTATATTAATTTCGAGTAATTTGAATAGCGCCGTGAAGATGGCACCACTTACATATTGCTTCTGTAATCTCGACCACAGTTGATAGGAGTCCGTTAGATGCTCCAGAAAAGTGTGATTGCCAGGAGAACAGGCCTTAGCCAGCGGCGGCAGATCTCAGCTGACGGGTCTCAGCCAGGACTGGAGGAGGCCCCGCGAAGTGAATTAATTTCAACACTGTATATCCTAATTAATTATTTATGAGTGATTTATTGTTGCACTCAGTATTTAGTTAATTAAAAACCAAGTTTGAGTAAAAAATTACTCAAAAATAGTTAAATTTAAATCATATTAGAGAAAAAGTCAACTCTAATTTGGTTTTATATAGGTACTTAGAATAGAGTTCAAAGTCGCTCAATTGATAGTTAGCAGTAACTCCGATTTGTGTAAAACTCACTCATTTCTGATGCAATAGATTCACTCACAATCAGTTGTACTCATACTAATAGAGTGAAAATTTCACTCCATCCGGTGCCGACAGAAATTGATACATTATTGAGTAAAATTGAATGAAATTTGAGTGAAATTTTTTTACAGTGTATATATTTTATGATAAGTTCCATGTGAAATATTGCAGCAGCCCTAAAATTTCCGATCTCTACTTGTCACAAAGATATAATTTTTTAATTTATTAATTCTTGGCAATATAACAAAGTAATAAGTTAAAAAGAGTTCCTTCTGCACTGTTTTCTTTTCTATCTCTGTTTCAGTTACGTTTTTCTTTTACTTGCAAAATAATGCGACATTTCCCATGCAACTTTTTTAAACATTTTAATTTCATAATCACCGACGAAAAATTCTCAGTGGCAAAGGAGAACTGTGAAATATTGCCATCCACAAATTAGTCTTTTATGTCTTGAAGTAGAGCTGCTCCAATCTATTGCAGGAATTATTAATTCCATTTCGGGTAAATATAGCGTTGCCCATAAGCAAAGTGTTCTGGGAATACGTGAGGTGCAGCACTGGCACTTTGACGGCAATCTCCGTAAATTAATAACATGTCAACTAATTCACTATTGTCATAGAGGTGGGCCATTTTAAGCGAAATTATTCAATAAAAGGCCCGGTCAAAATTGATGATAAAATTGACTACAACAAGCAAAAAATAATTACCCTGTATTTATTTTTGTATAAGAAACGAGAATCCAAAGACGAGTAAAGCCACCGGCACCCCTAAATCTCATTATCCAGCTCAAGTAAGCAACAAGAACGCGTTCAGGCACGTACCAGGAATTATGTAATTATACGATATCCATCGTGACTTCCCCAAGATGAAAACAAAAGATTGGTTCCTAGAAAGTCCAAGGCGGAGCATAACTAAGGTATTCTTTCCTCTAAAGAAGTTAATTAATCGATGATATCATCATTGGCCTTTTTAATAACATTCGGTCGTCTGATCGAACGTTGAAGTCTCCTAGCTGTGTCGGCCTTAAAAATATATAACCGCGGTGTAATATACCTATTGACTTTCTAAATAGCTTAGTATCAGCCAGCGTATAAAGACGACATTGTTTTTTTACATGTGAACTTGAAAACATGAAAAATACTTTAAGAATAATATTTGCTGTCACAATTTTATTGTTCTTCGCTTAATTTAGGATTAAGCATAAAATAAATTGTGAGAAAAAAATCTCAAGACTTCTAATAGCTCCTTATTAAATGCTAACCTTGTCCAGAAACTATCATTTCTTACTTAAATATATTAGAATTTTATATACTAATCACACATTTACCTAAATTCAATATTTCTCCAGTTGATGACTTGGCTTTTTATCTACACATTGAATAAACTTGTTAAAAACATTGGCTAAAACAAAAATATTATAAATACTGTATTATGATATCAAGTTTTATCCATCTGATTAACATTTTCTCTCGTATCTAAAGAAGTATTAAGACAGTTTAATTATTATCTTAAATATCGACACCTGAAAGAAGCCAGCAACTACTGAATAATAGCAAATCAAAAAGGATAGGTATTAATAAAAAGTGATGACGACATTGTAGCAGGTGACATTTAATTTATTTCATGCCTAACCCATCGTTGAAATCTCCTTTTACCAATGACGTTATACATACAGAAAAATGTTCTGACATGTCATCGTAATTATTATATATAAAAAAACTTAATTATTGCATGATCTATTAGAAAAACGTATCAAGATATTTTATACCGATATAATTAACCAGGCACTTCCATTAATAACCCTTCCGACACGTCTAATCGATCGTTGAAATCTCCAGGACATATCAATGATGTATATGTAAAAGATCCCAGAAAAACGTTTCAAAGCAATATAAGCCCAACAATGTCCTCTGATATTAAATCTTCTAGGCAAATATAAGTTGACGACATTGAACACCATTTGCTGCTAACATATTGCGATCAAAACCAGTCCTAGTCCAACGAAAAAAAGTCCCCCTAATTTATTAACTGTGTATTATTATGCCTAACCGTTATGTTTATTATTTTCAGCGAAAATGAAGATGATTCTGCCGCTGGTCGTTTGGACAACATGGCTTCATACAACGGTGAGTCCTTTATAGATACCTAGGAATACCATGCGCAACAATCTAATTAAAATATTATAGAAGCGCGCAAAAACACTTTTCATTACGGAACATCTTTGGAATGAGTAGTATAGGATAAGTAGTTCTATAAGAAATGGGTTCTGATTTGCTCCGACTGATGCAACATGACCGGGAAAAAGCTCGATTGACAAGATTCTCGTACTAATCGCTAAATTAGTTTAATAACGATCATCCTTAATGTGTACCGTTCTCGATGATCTAATCAAAAAGATGCTGTCTTGAAGACATCAATTAAATGATTCTACTGGCAAAAATAATGATACAAGTTCTTATGACAGTTTCTTGAAAACTCATTTATATTTTTACTTTATATTTTGCCTAATATTTTTTCGATTGTCAATTTTTTCAAATTTCGTACAATTATTACTAGTATGAAAAAATGTTATGAAAGTTGTGTATCATATAACTATTTTCTTCGCATTTTCAAGAAATTAAATGGCTCAAAATGTAAGATCACTAAAAAAGTTCTTCGTGCGAACCGTTAAAACCAATATTAACCAGGCGGGATCTGTTTCAAAACACTCATGTATGGATGTTTTATATAGTATCGCTAATTTTTGCTTTAATGCCTTTAAAATGATATAACAAAACATAATTTCAATATGCGCGCTTCAAAACGTGTGCTAAACTTATTATTAAACAAATAGTGAAAAATATTGGAAAAAAATCAATTTTTTTTTCTTTTTTTAAACACAGTTCAAAAACTATTAATTTTAGCGAAAAATTGAAAAGGAAAAAAAAATTCGTAATTAAATTTTACACATGATATACCTATTTTCAAGAGCAGAGCAAGAAATCTCTGTAACTCGAGACCATACATAAACTGTACGAGACTTTGCCACCAAGCCATCCGTGTAGTAAATAAGATGGTTTGAAGAAAAGTACTCGAGTAATGAAGGAGGGTGTACAAGAGACCTAATAAGGCCTAGGTAAGTGCCGTGGTGGAAGACAATTCCACCACCCCTCCGACATACATACATACATACGTATTTTCAAATAAAAAAATACAACACAATTATTGCAAATATAGCAAAAACAACACAAAAAAATGAAAAAAATTATAATATTTTTGCGATTTTTTTAAAGTACTTATATTATAGGTAGGATCTTCATACTTGTCCAAAAAATCTTTTTATATAATAAAACATCACACCAATTTTCATTAAAATCGGTCGTACCTATAGTTTTCGAGTAATAATTGCAATCTAGATTTTTGAAAAAAAATTGAAATTTTTACAAATTTAACTGAGCCTAAATTAAGACATCTAGATACTTGAAAATTTTATCACATAAAAAGTGCACTCAAACTTTAAAAGGCGTCCAGAAAAATTGAAATCCGTTAATTAGGAGAGCCGTGGTAATTGTTTAAAGATATGCGTACGTTTTGCGCTTATAAATGAACTTAGAATAACTTTCTAAATTCATTATAATTATATATTTTCTTAAATTATGCTGTTAAAGTACTCAGAAATATGCTTCTTTAAAAAAAAAAACGTGGTGATTCGTTATTTGGTTTCAGAGTTATAGTCGATCAAAGTTGACCGGCATTTGTGGTGTAACTACGAGGTCTGGAGAGCTGTTTTTTAAACAAAAACCTTTGTCATTCCGAGTACTTTCCGGGAGTGAATTTGCAAAACTTGCGCCCTTGTGCAACCCATATAAAATGTCGATTAAAACTATTTGACCGAACATGAAATTCACGAAAAATGTTTGGGTGGTAGTGGTGGGGGGTCGAGAGCTCGGCTACTCCGGACGACTCGAAATTAAAATCGCGCGTCCAAAATAGCGGCGCGCTTAAAAATTTTGATTATCTCGGCTTCTAAAGGTCCGATTTTGATGTTTTTTTTTTTTAAATCGATGTCTCGAGCTGAAAAGTCCAAATATCGCATTTTCAAATGCGAATTATCGTTAATTATCGACCTATTAACGTATTCAAAAATCTGGATAGCAAAATTATTACTCGAAAACTATTGGACCGATTTTAACGAAAATTGGTGTATTATTATATCAAAAAAAAATTTTTTAGGCCAAGTATGAAGATCCTACCTATAATATAAGTGCTTTTAAAAAAATCGCTAAAATATTGCAATTTTTTTCACTTTTTTTTGTTGTTTTTGCTATATTTGCAATAATTATGTTGTATTTTATTATTTGAAAATAGTATATAATGTGTAAAATTTAATTACAAGTCTTTTTTTTTCTTTTCAACTTTTCTCTAAAGTGAATAGTTTTTGAACTGTGTTCAAAAATAAAAGAAAAAAAATTGAATTTTTTCCAATTTTTTCACTATTTGTTTAATAATAAGTTTATCACACTTTTTGAAGCGCGCGCATAGTGAAATTATGTTTTGTTAAATCATTTTGGAGCCATTAAAGTAAAAATTAAGAATACAATAAAAAACATCTACATCAAAACAGATCCCACCAGGTCTATATTTAATTAATTTGCAATATAACCGAAAAACAATTTGAACGTAAAAGACGATCATGTTCTATACATATATGCATTAATTTTTTTTAATTTTTAAATTTAAAAATAGTGGTCATAAAATATTAAATGCGTTTTTTTTTCTCGGAAATGATTATCAATTTGGAATAAGACATATTTGTAAGATACTTTACATTCTGAACATGAAAGATGAAGAAAGTTTTGTGGAGAAAAATTACCTCGTAATGTAACATAACCTCAAATATAGGGGGAAACCGTATTTTTACACATTTAGGTTAAAATATCTCGAAAACCTGTTAGATTCAGGTTCGGGGCAAAAAACCTACAAAAAAGTTCTGATTTAAAATTGTGTCGGTTTGAGTTGATAATTGAATAAAAAATATTGGGATTACGTAACTCCGCTAACATTGACTTCTTAAGACAGTATCATTATTTTTATTAGTAAAATCACTAGTATAATTTGTTACACAGTTTTGAGACGCATCTTTTTTATGTTAATTGTGGTATTTGAGCACCCGTAGCAATATAAACTTTCCGACGCCTATGCTTATTGCAAAATCATTTCCCATTCAAAAGTATTCGATTAATCTGTATGCAATTTTCACGTTAAATACTAAGGAACTATTCTTCGTGTTACATAACACGTTTCAAAGGAACAATCTCGTGGCGTTTGCGCGTCATGATATATATCGCTGCTTTATAAAAACGCATTAACCACCATCCTCTCAAAAGTTGATCTCAGCAACACAAGCCGATTGAATAAGTAATTATAAAAAAGAAACGCGCTCGGTTACACGTTGCTCCATTCTCACTTTCCACCGATGAAGTTTGTATATCCACCGCTAAATTTCAGCTCAGATCCATTTAAATTATTCAAATCGAATGCGCTTTCGATCGTGTTCATACCCGGTCACTTTCTCCCGGCCGGGTACAGCGTATGTCCAGTTACTTTTTATAAAACGAACACGCAACGGTGCAATTGCGATATTTTAAAGCGTTCCGTCTTCGGGAACTAGGTCAGGGATTCGAAACGGAGAGAAAAATACACAGCAGATACGTTGAACGTGGAGTTCTGTGTATGTATAAGGCGTTCGTATTTCTGCTGGTTATACAGTGCTCCAGATTCTTGCGCTTATATGTCACTGATTCAAATTGGGGGAACTCATTGATTGGGGAACATACTTCAATTACACAGGCACATACAAAAAGTGGTTTGTTCCACTGAACGAGACCATTTTTTGCATTTTGATGTACAGAAATCGAATCTGTTATGGGAAATACTCCAGTTTTTTTTCTAAATTACCAAAAACCATCGCAAAAACCTAAAACGCAACCAAAACTTTGCATTCAGTAGGTTTTTTCTCAGCCTTTAAGACGAAACAACATTATGTCATATCATTTGTGCATTTTATGATTTTAGGTATTCATTTACACTTGTAATCCTTCAGCTTCCGGTGAACACCAGAAAACCACTCTTAAAACCTAAAAGTGAGCAAAAAAATTCCATATTCGGTGGATTCAAGTAATAAACTTAAACCACAAACTTACAATCTGAAGATTCACACATCCTACAGATGAAACAAATGAGATATTAGAATCCCCTACCCCTGTAGCAATAAAATTGGTACAGTTTTAAATTTCTCTTTGGGTGCAGCCTTGTAGAAGTGTTTATATATGTAGTCATGGTTTTCCCTTTGTTTCTAAAGGTAGCTGAAAATGAATTGAGAAAATCGTCTCAACTGCATCCAGGCTACAGGAAATCCATTAAGTGGTTATTAATTTTTGTTTTTATATTATATTTATTTATTAATTTCTTTTGACCATTTTGGACACATTGACATGTATATATGGTAAGTCACATTTGTAAATACACATTAAAAATAATCTACATTCACGTCACAACATTTGAAAAATTTAAAATTTGAACTTGCGTTATGAAAAATAATTCACATTTACAAGGAACTAAATTAAGCGTACAATGTAAACTTTTATCACAAAAATAGCAATGACAATATGTATCTATTGCCTGAAATTCTATTATAGTCACTCAACTATTCTTTTCAAATTTGAGATAGTCTAATACACTATAAAAGGCATTACCCAATAAAAATTCTTTTATTTTGTTTTTAAATTTACTATAGCACGTAATAGTTTTAATATTGTTTGGCAGTCTATTGAATAAAACAATGGCATTGTAATATGGGGAGCGTTCAAAAAAAGTGGTGCGATGTTTTGGTATGCTTAATAATGAACCCCCATGCCTAGTGTTGTATGAATGGTAATATGAGCAAGACTTAAAAAGATGTTCATTTTTTTTAGCAAAAGTAATGCATTTCAATATATATATCGACGGTAATATGTAACGAGCGTTCAAATAAAAACGTGGTCGAAGTTGGCTCTGACACATTGGACGTAGGGAGTAGCTTATAGCGACCAACTTAACCTCATTTCTCAACGAGCTGTATAGCAGCTGTCAGTTTCAATAACGTTAA